AACTCTTAATTTTGAACCTTTTAATTAATATTATTTTCATGTTTTTACATTGTGGGCCCAGAATTGTATGCAATACTTTCGATCTCCTTTGTGTGACACTAAGAAGACACGTATCTGACAAAGAACATTTATTTCATAGAAATTTTCTACTTTTAGTGATTTGAATTTTAAAAGCTATCGAGATGCAATGAACCCTTTTAAACATTTTAGTAAACTAGATGTTAAATTTAAATATACTAAAATATAATATTAAATAATCTTCTATATATATAAAAATGGATTGCTGTTCCTTAGTCTCGCTAAAACTCGAGAACAGCTGAACGGATTTATCTTATCTTAGTCTTGAAATGTTCGTGGAGGTTCAGGGAAGGTATAAAAGATGAAAAAAATTGATTCATTACTGGGAAAACCATAAAAACAGTCCTTTTCTATTTCCCATACAAACGTTTTATTTGACATTAGATTTGACAACTAACTAATATGTCAATCATTCTGTCGCACTTCAAAACACGGAAATTTATGGCTTACAGGTAAACTCCAAAAATATAAATAAAAGAACGTAATAGATATTTCTTGATTATAGGGCGATACGAAGTTCGCCAGGTCTTCTAGTAATTAATAAAACATTTCCAGAAAACAGAAGTCATTGATTGATCACATCAAAGTGAAGTATATGTGCCGTATATATTATATCTACATATTTCATTTAACACTCGATCAAAGACATTAGTTATTATACTTCACCAAGTCGACAGATGTATTGTCTTATAAATTTACCTTGTAAGGGCGATAGTCCGTAAATTCAAAGGGTTGCCATGGGATGATTCCACATCTACGTGTCACTTGCTATGAAACCCTTTTCAAATAAAGTTATTATCAAATTGCTGTACAAGATATTAAGGTGTGGTTATAATGGGAAAATGTCAAATACATTTTATTAAATACAATCATTGTAAAATAAGATATACCTATATACATATATATATATATATATATATATATATATATATATATATATATATATATATATATATATATATATATATACGTAGTGCCTTGCATACTTTTTCTTAAACAAAAAAAAGAATGTTTTTCATAAAATCATTATTTAATTTATTATTTTCAACAAAATATATCTCATGGTGCATTAACAACAACACTGCAAATTCTGAAAAAAATAAAAAAGAATTCATTTATATTTCATAATTTATGAAGTATGCTAAACACATATTAAAATTTTAAGAGTTCCTGGTTAGCATTACTATATAGATAAAGTATCATATAGAGCGCTGCGTACTCTACGAAACAAACGCGTGTTCGTGTGTCTCAAAAATTAATAAAATAAAACAAGAAACGTGATATTTTTAAGAAACTTCGGGAAAATTATGTACTCTTAGATATAGGATCTAAGTTTAGTTCTGCATTTGTTATTCCATGTCTTAGTGAGTTTCGTAATTTTTCTTCAACTTCTGTTACGACGTGAACCGCACTTCGTATAATTTGACACTTTTAACGTTATAAACAAACAAAAATATTTTTTAATGTATTTTATAATTATATAATAAGGCTTGATTTCTTTTTTTTTGTGCAAAACACGTTGTTAAACACTATTTATACTGACTATTATCACGAGAGGGAATAGGAACTTAATTTTGTTAGATATTGTTGCGGATTTTGATTGTATTTAATGAGGAGATATTAAAAGGCGTACATTAGTTGCAATGATAATTTTATTGTGTTACATATTTTTATGACAGGGCAAGTAAAAAATTTAAATTACAATAAACAAAGTGCCTTACATTTAAATCGTTCCGTAACCTCCATATACTAAATTGCTTCACAATTTTCACAGGCGCTTGCGCCAACAGATATACATACTATTATATGTAGTATTAATTTAAACATATAATATATAAGAAGAAGACAGGTCATTGTCTTTCGAGCCAGCTGTACATAATTATTAAGAAATTAACTTCATTGAGGTAAAAATTAACAGATATTTCTTGATTATGGGGCGGTACGAAGTCCACCGGGTCATAGGTATACGGTTTAAGATATCTAGGATAGTTTTTGAGAAAAGTTTTAAATTAAAAAATATTTATTTAAATAGAAGGTAACTATCAAGAGAACAATATAGGGTAATATTAATTGAAATAATAATAAGCAGTTATAATATTTTTGAAGCTTTTATTTTACTATAAATGTATAACACACAGCATTTCTATTCTGCGTTAATTATTTAAAAACTATTCTTTTTATAAAAAGTGGAACTAGAAATTTATTGTATAGGATATAAAAATTATTCAAGTTTCATTAATTAGTTATTATAATATAAATTTAGTTTAATAATGTTTAAATCTATTTTCACATTATGGATTAAATTAATATTCAACAATTTTTCACGTACATGCTTTATTATGAGCTAAATTATAGTATCTTAATCTGGTAATTGAGTTAAGCGATTATTCTATCAATATTAAAATAGTCTTTTTTCTTTATATTTCTTTGCTGTATAAATTTATATTTTTAGCGAATTAAACAAAGTTTAGCAATTTAAACTACTTAAAAGCTGTTAATACAGAAGGAGATTATCTTTCGTAAGCGAGGGTGCGCGTGCGAGTGTCGCCGTAGCGATGACGGACAAGCGTTACACAGCTAAAGTCTATGTGGACTGACGATTGACGAGTGACGAGTACGACACACTGCGCAGTGCACCAGTGTTGCCATCTTTATTTTTTAGAGGATCGTACTATACACTAAAAAAATAGTATTTTGTCTTGAAATTCAAGGAAATAACAGTACGCGATGAAATTTCAATAAAACTGCTGAAGTATATCAAATAAAAACGGAATTTAATTCTAATTTTCAATTAACAATCATCATCAATAAATATGTGGAATTAAGATATTCATTAATTACATATATTTTGAAAACATAAAAAAAATGAATTGTTTTAGTCACTATCTGAATTATTAGGCACAGCAGTTGCGGGAAAAGCATTATATTTTTTGTACATACTTAAATTTAATTTGCTCAGCATATCGTCAGATGGCTTGAAGTTTATACACGATCCTTTTTCTTTAATATGTTGTGCAGCTAACAAATTCTCATGTACCGTTTCTGGAATACAGTTTAGTTTTAAATATTCCTTACAGTTATAGTATAGTACTAAATATAGTTAGTTATAGTACTAAAGTTTAGTTTTACACATTCCTTATAGTTTTATTGGAGATTTATTTTTTCGTAAGACTTCATTTAAAAAATCGTATATTTTGCGTACGATTTCGATAACTCGATCGTACATCGTACAAGAGTCAAAAAGGTCGTATAAATACAATTTAAATCGTACGGTTGCCAACACGGCTGTGCCCGCTCAGCTGGCCAGCGGCCGCTAGCGGGGGCCAGCGGGGCTACAGGTGCGCGGGCCCAGGCGACGCGAACAATAGACGCAGCGCGCATCCTCGCTATATACATACGTTCAATTTAATAAGAAGTTTGTCCGTCGCAAGAATTAAAAATATTAAATTAATTTTAATCATTAACAAATATGTATGTATAGAAATGGATATAAATTTAAATTTACAATACAACACATAATCTAAGTTGCTCCGCTACACTCTGTTTGTATTCATGTTAAAGTAAACATATGAAAACTTTTCAATGTATAATTTATTTACCACTTTTACTTTTAACTTTGTTCATATCTTCCTTTTGGTTCATATATTTGCTAGGTATACATCAATACCGCTTTTTTTCTTTTTGATAATCTTTCAAAAATTGATGAAAGCTCGGAGGACTCAGTACAAACATGTGGAAAGAGTGATGATGCGCTTTATTTATTCATTCTCTCAACTTGATTGAGGTGAGTGAAATAGATTTGTGATGACATTAAATTAAGTAATTTATCCTATTTCAGTATGTTAAAAAAAAATAACTCAGTTCTGTCAAAGGTTTATCTATAAAAAATATGTATTATTTAAAATTTATTTAAATACTGTTATTTTATATAACTTATTAGATAAGATTTCATAGTATTTAATTATTTAATAATACTTTTTAAAACAAAGTGCAATCAATAAACATTAAAAAAATCTTGACCATTTGTACTTCAATAATTGAATTTCATTTCTATTTAAAGTAAATTATTGTTAAATAATAGTACGAATTTAATGAATATAAAACCAATAATAAGCTCATGAATTTATTTCAACTTTCCCGCCTTAACTACACTCGCAAAAAAATATTCTGGTAACACTGGAAGCACTGATTATTTTGTATTGTTTAATGTCCGTTAATTGTCAAATGAAATGGAGCTCTCTGATTGGTCGGTAAACTGTTCATATATTTTTTCGCCATTTTATTATTGTTGAATATTGTTACATTGTCATTTGTTTTTCTAAGCACAAGTGAATAGGTTTCAATTAGTAAACAGTGAATTAATTTATTAACGAATTATGGAAAATTATGGCTGTGAGTTCTGTGCTTGTGATATGTGTTTAATGAAATTAGTTAGGTACGAGTAGATTTTCAATATTGTAGTTTGGTAATAAAATTAAAATAAGTGTAAAGTGAAGGCGTGTGAGTTGTGACTTGTGACCAGTTAAGATTGAACTAAAAGAAAGGTAATGTTATTCATTTTAATAAAAAGTATTATGATAGTTTTAATTAGTTAGCAGGTTTTGTACACACAAATAAGTTACTTTGTTTGCCTTGTTTGTTTTTTTTTTCAAATGATAATATTAAGAATGTTTGAATCTCTATTTAAATAACTTTTAAAAAGTTGTGAGGAACAGATCATAATCGTTTTAACCCCTTCGGACCCGGCGTCCATTTCAATGGACACTATTTATTATTGCGAGTAACTTGACACAGTATAATAAAAATGCTAGTGTAAATATTTAACTGTACCGTGCACTTAACTACAAACGTTACCATAAACAAAACACAATCAGCTTTTATGTAGGCAGGATGAAATAATTAGTCAAGTGTTGACGTTCGCCATGGATACGCACAAAACAAGTAAGTCGTCAGTTTTATTTTATTTACTCCATAACGACTTGATCAATTAGATCGATATTTTTTATCATGTATAATGATCATATTTGCTTACATTTTCACTTACTAAAAATACAAATTATGCATGTTGCCATAAAATATTGCAGATGAAAGTGATGTCCATTTCAGTGGACAAAGGGTCATAATCGTTGTAGAACGTTTGTATTTACAATAAGATTTTGTAATGAATTATACACGTATTTTTTATTTCATTTTAGGTTTTGACGTATCGAAAAGTCAAGACGTGAATAATATACTCAAGTTATTAGAAAACGGTGTAATATCGGATGTTGACGAAGAAAGTGACGATGAAATTGTACAGGCCTTACCAGAAAAAAATGTTCGTGTGGGTAGTAATATAACATTACCAACCGAAAGAGTAATAGCTGATAACTCTGAAGAGGAGGAAGATATGGCAGAGGAGGAAGATTTACAGGAGGCTGAACCAAAACCTGGATCAAGTAGTAAGTCTAAAAATGAAATAATTTGGAGAAAACATTTACAGCTTGAATCTCCACTATTCATTTGGTCTGCTCCACCACCTTCTAAAATAGATTCGCCTGATGCTCCAATTGATTATTTTTCTAAATATATATCACAGTCCCTAATTGAAGATTTTACGTTCAATACTAATTTGTATGCAGTGAGAAATGAAGTCCGTAATTTCAAGCCATGTACTCCTACAGAAATGAAAGTATTTTTGGGCTTCATATCATTATGGGTAACCTGAAGTTTCCTCGTATTAGTTTGTATTGGGATTCCAGTTTAGATATGAAAATATTTTTAGAGAATATGGCCAGAGATAGATTTCTTCAGATGAGAAACAATTTGCATGTAATTGATAACAATTCTATTCCACAAAATAACACTGACCGTTTTATCAAAGTTCGACCTTTATATGATTCAATTAGAAAACGATGTCTAGAACTAAAGTTGGAGCAAATATTGAGTGTTGATGAACAGATTGTACCTTTTCAAGGAAAACTTGAAATCAAACAATATGTGAAAGGAAAACCACAGCCATGGGGTGTAAAGATATTTATGATTTGCGGTAAGAGTGGATTAGTTTACGATTTCATCATTTATCAAGGTGCAACTACAAACCTAGACAAAAATGACGTTTTGAAATATGGCACATCTGCTGCTTATGTAAGTGCCTTGTCGAAAAGAATTTATGGGTCTGGGCATTACCTTTTTTTTGACAATTATTTTTCCAATTACATTTTGCTGCAAGATCTTCGCGAGAGGGAAATTTATGCAGGAGGAACGATCAGAATAAATCGTTTTGGAAAACCGCCACTTATAACCGACAAAGAAGGATCAAAAAAAGAAAGGGGATATACTGATCAAGTTACGAATAATACTAAAGATGTGGTTGTTATCAAGTGGATGGACAACAAAGGCGTCGTACTTGCTTCAAATTTTGTTGGAATAGGAAACCAAGATGAAGTTCGGCGATGGAATAAAATATCTAAAACATATGTAACTATATCGCGTCCTGAACTGGTGCAATTATATAACAATGGTATGGGTGGTGTAGATAAAACTGATCATCTGATTAGTTTGTATCGTATTTTCATAAGATCCAAAAAATGGACATTACGAATGATATTTCATGCCATTGACCTAGCGCTGACCAATAGTTGGCTAGAATACCAAGAAGATTGCAAAACCTGCAATATACCAAGTACAGACGTTTTAGATCTGTTGCACTTTCGGCAGCGTGTTGCAGAGGCTCTTATAAAAATGGGGCTTCCAATCCCCAGCAAAAAAAGAGGACGGCCTGCGTCTGGAGGTAGTAGTCCAGTAAATTCACCAGCTACGCCAAAACGACATCGTTTTAGAACTGAAATAAGGCCTGCAAGAGAAATTCAGTACGACACAGTTGACTATTTGCCAGAATATGATCAGAAAAAAGAAGCTACAAGATGTAAAAATCCAGGATGTAAAGGAAAGACACATGTTTACTGCCTGAAATGTGAAATACATTTATGTTTTACCAGTGACCGAAATTGCTTCCGAAAATTTCATCAAAAACAAGAATAATCCATCCAATTACAATGTTGTAAAACTGTGAAAATAAACAAACATTATTATTATTATATATGGTTTTGCTTACTTATTTCGTTATAGTACCCACTACAAATCATTACATACTAAATACGTAGTACAACACTATAGACCCGATGTCCATTATCAAGTGGACATTAATATTTCCAAAAATCTAAAAACTATAAATCGCATATTTACACAAAAATCCCTTAACTCCACTACTTACTCACAGAAAAAGCATAAAAATATTTTTATTCATGCTTTATATAAAATCAGGTCCGAAGGGGTTAAGGTACTTTCGTGGCTCAGAGGTACCTAGTTGAGAGATTCATAAAGTATATAGATGTTCGTTCTGATCGGACTGCTGTAAGTTGTAACATTATGCGCGAATTTTATCAATATTTAAATGAAATTAATATTTTCTGATTTCTTCACGTACATATTTTATTATATTTAATATCCACACGTACATATTTTATTATATTTAATATAAAAACTACATATAATATCCGGGACGAATCTTGACCCTGCGCAGTAACAAATATTAGATGTCGTTTGATGTGCGGTCTGAGGCGAGGAGCTCATTACTACAGCAAACATGAAACAAGGCGTCCATTACTAGTAAGTAGTAACCATTGCAACGGGTGGATGCGTGGCCCCGCGCAGTGGCACCGCGTCTCCCGTCGTTTGTTTTTGTTTTGTTGATTTTGTGGGTTCTTTCTTTTGGTATTATAGGAAGATTTTAACGAATTTTACTAAAATGCCAAGAAAAAATAATATAGTTCTAAAAAGACAAGCTCGAAAAATGATTTACGATGTTTACTGTTTTTTAATAATGCTAAAGATAAAATAATTAACCCGTTGTGTTTTTTACGTTCCTTCCCTTTAATATATTTAATATTTATTTTTAGATAGTACGTGATTTTCGCTACGACTATACCTGCGCAGAGGACGCCATGTTAGGTCAGGTTTCGTGCCGGGTAGTATACTTCCGACGCGACGTTTCGATTACTTTGCAGCAACCGTTATCACGACAGACATCTCGTCTGCCCGTTAAAAACAATAAAATATTAGTTTCATTTCTAAATTCAAATCAATACTTGCGAAAGACATCATTATTATCAATGATTAGAGGAAGAAATGATGAAAATTAGTCAGTGGTGGCTCAGTGGTTAAAGGGCCCGCCTCTCGTTGCCGAAGGCGCGAGTTCGATCCTGGCCCGGGCAAGTACGAATGTGATTTTTCCGAATCATATGTACTTTCTAAGAATATTTAGACATCACTGATTAATGTTGATTCCCAAAAAGAGGGTTGATGTCAGGCAGGCGGCCGGTCGTAAAAACAAATAGCCAAAACCATTCACAACATGTTAAGCAGACCCTGGCTATAGCTGGGAAAAATTGTCAGGTAGAAGAAGACCAACGCGGATTTCATGAACATTAAAAAGGTTAACTGATATTTATACTAATACTATAAAACTGAAGAGTTTGTTTGTTTGAAAGCGCTAATCTCCGAAACTACTGGTTCGAATTGAATAATTCTTTTTGTGCTGGATAGTCCAGTTATCGAGAAAGGCTGTGAGCTATATAACATCACGCTACGACCAATAGGAGCAAAGATATAGTGGTAAATGTGTAAAAACCGGGAGAAATTATTTCATCATTGAAGCCTTCCGTTGCGTGCGCCGTGAAAACGGTTCAAGGTACACAAAAAGTATGTAGCAAAGAATAATCTCACCAAAAACATGCCTGTTAAAAAGGGGGCCAAGTTCCAATCGGCTAATTGTTTGCCTAAAAAAGGGGTGAAATCCAATCTAATGCCAAGTTTAGATGCACTTTGAAATCGATCATAATCATCTTCATCAACAGCATGATCCACTGGTAAACATTTGCCATTCCCAAGACTCGCCACCACACCCAGTCCTCTGCCTTCCACATCCAGCCACTACCCGCCACCTTATTCACGTCAACGGTCCATCTGGCCGAAATTCACTTTACCATACACCCAACTTAAAATATGGTATAGTTGTGAAAATACGTAGGTGCTTGGTTAAAAATATCTAAAATTATAATACTTCTTAATTTGAACTTGGCAGGTTTTTGTGCTGTACGTAACACTTAATTAATTGTGTCATTAATTTATTATTTAGTTATATAATTATTTATATTTATATAATTAAAATATTATATAATTTAAATAATTAAATTATCATGCTGTTGATGAAGATGATTATGATCGATTTCAAAGTGCATCTAAACTTGGCATTAGATTGGATTTCACCCCTTTTTTAGGCAAACAATTAGCCGATTGGAACTTGGCCCCCTTTTTAACAGGCATGTTTTTGGTGAGATTTCAATACTTTTTTTCAAGAAATCGTACATACAATCGTACTATACAGCCGTACAATGCATAACTTACAGCATGAAACATACAGCTACCATCTGATGGCATAGGAATTACCCTATGTGGTATATCTCCGCCAACCACCGAAAGATGTACAATTTCCATCGTTGGTAAATGAATAGTAGAAAAGAAATAGAGTGAATTTGTGCTTTTAATACACACAAGTAATCAATCAATAAGCAATATCAAAATTAATCCTTTAGCAAGTCAAATCAGTGATCCATTTAATCGTAATCGTAACCATATATAAGATATCAAGACGTAAGTGTAGAAAGAAATAGAAAGAAAAGACCATCGATTCCTTATCGACTTTCATTCATATATACTGCAGACAAAACAATATCGCGATTCAATTATACCGCTAGCGCCATCTATCGAAAGTAATTTATAATAATAGAAACCTGATTTTTTAGGTAAGCAATATTTAATTAAGTTATACAGTGTGCATTATGTATACATGACAATATTTTATATCCCTTATATATATATATATCAGTTCTTAAGAAGCGCCCCACACTTTTTTCACAATAATATTAATTTAAAAATAAATTAACAAACAATAAATGGTATTTTTGTGAAAAAAAAGCGTGGGGAGCTTCATATATCACTTCTTGAGAAGCGCCCCACGCTTTTTTTTCAATAATACCATTTATTGTTTATTTTAAACAATTTAAATTAAATTGATTTCCAACTCACGCATGACCGATTTCTTAAATTTATTAATTTTTTGTTAATCTACATATAACACACAACCTGGGTACCAAATTTCATAATGCTAAAACAATGGGAAGTGGCCTAGAGGTTTTGATTACCTGTCAGTGAGTCAGTGCCAAAATTAGCTATTTTCACAGGGTCATATTTCAGGATCTACTGAAGCTTTATCTATGAAATTTGGCATACTGCTTTAGTTCTAGTATATGATTACGTAGGTAAAATTTTATCTCTGTACTTGCAATAGGCACTGAGCTACAGGGGGGTCAAAAGTGGGTCGAAACGGTTCGTGTAAATATAGTGCACGGCATGCGCCGGCCTGTGGAACTTGGCCGGCGCACTACCGTGCGCTTAGATAGCTCTTTTAATGATCTAAAAAACAGTCCGCGACAGTATATGTCTATCTTTTAAGATTAACTCACAAAAACCGTTTTTATGGTACCTAATTTGGTCGAAATAATTTGTTTAAGTTGTATCCACATAATAATATTAATCTTTATTCAAATAAACAAATAAATATGTTGTTGGTTAGGAGTACTTCATTATGAATTAAAAAAAAACATAGGTTTTATCCTGAAAATTCTACGGGAACTCGACCATTCCGATAACTCTCTTCCGAGACCATGTCTCACTCGCTCTGAAACGCATGTATAGTGCTCTCGCGCTCATACTCATGGTTGAGTCATTTTTGTGTTTAGGGGATGTTTGGTTATTACCATTTGTCTGACTGATTAAATATAACTTTGTAATATTTATTTCAATAACATTTATAAAAATCAGACATTTAAAAATAAATTAAGTTCATTTATTTTTTGTAGAGCTTTAAAGCGTCTGACAAAAGTTCTGGCCCATGGAAAGCGTCAGATTCTTTTGATATTACTTCAGAGTATTATGCTACAAAATATACAGGGTGACTGGTGAATTACTATCAATATTTAAGGAGAATACTCGGTACATGATTCTCATTCGAATTATGTAAAAAAATAGGTACTTAATTTTTGACCAAATTTCCGTATAAATAAATAAAGTGTGGACACGTTCCAAGTGTTCCAAGTGTGGACGCGTGCGGCGGCGTGCTGATACAACACCACGCCGCCGACGCGTGTGTGTATACCTAATCTGTAGGGTGTTCACACGATGCGTAATTAATTACATAACTTTTGGTTAACTTTACTTACAAGTTTATTAATAACTATTTATGTTATATTAATTTTTGTTTTGTCAAATATGATCTTCAAATATCACGTCCTCAAGTATCGATAGTAATTCACCAGTCACCCTGTATATATATGTATATACAGGGTGACTGGTGAATATGTAATTAATTACGCATCGTGTGAACACCCTACAGATTAGGTATACACACACACACACACACACACACACGCGCGTGCGGCGGCGTGGTGTTGTATCAGCACGCCGCCGCACGCGTCCACACTTGGAACACTTCTAACGTGTCCACACTTTATTTATTTATACGAAAATTTGGTCAAAAATTAAGTACCTATTTTTTTACATAATTCGAATGAGAATCATGTACCGAGTATTCTCCTTAAATATTGATAGTAATTCACCAGTCACCCTGTATATGTATGTAATACATGTATATAATTGAGCCGGGACGGGTATAAAGATTAAAATATTTACTGTAAAGGGCCATAGATCTATTTTAAATCAAAAATGTATTAAAGTTATTTAACTGGATAAGGATTCTCCACTTATTTATGGATATCATTATACATACAAACCTTCCTCTTCAAACAATCTATCTTTCAAAAAAAACTGCACCAAAATCCACTGCGTAGTTTTAAGTTATTAAGAATGCATTCGGATGTAGGGACAAGAAAAGCAGCTGTTTTAAAATTTATACCATATTAGCT